TATTTCCTGAGTACTCACATGAGTAACTGAGTACTCACTGAGTAACAATACTCAGAAATTGTTAGTAGTACCAATATGAGTACTCATGGACGAATTATGAGTAAAGTCGTACTCATCGTATGAGTACGTTCACTAGGGTAGTGATGAATCACATTTTGAAGTTTTGAGCAGAAAAAGTTCAGCCTTATGCTTGTCGACTTTCAGCGGAGAAAAATCAACTGTTTAGTTTGCGTACAAGTCGTACAAGTGTTAGTGTCCTCCAGAGTTGGTCCTTTAGTTGTTTACCAAGGTCGAGTAAATGGAGCACGGTATATTGATATTATTAATCAAAGTTTACCCGTATTTACCAAGAAAATGTTCAGAAGAAATGAGAAATGGTCATTTATGCAAGATAACACACCTCGTCATAAAAGTAAGTTTAGCATGGCGAGGTTCGAAATGAAGGAGATGAAGATTCTGGAGTGTCCGACGACATCACCTGACCTAAATTCCATCGAAAAATTATGGGACATAATTGATAAAAAATTGAATGGAGTAAAACCAACCAATGCGCAATATCTTGAACAACTAATACACAACATTTGCTCTGAAATTGATCCAACAACTTGTCAACAGTTAGTTGAATCGATGCTTCGTCGTCTACACGCATGTATTAGTGTTAAGGGAGGAACATCAGCAAAATCTTGAATTTTATCTTTATTCTTTTGTACAAGGATGTAAAGTCGTCCCTATAATTTTGATCAAAGAAAAACGCGATGGTTTTTGTAAAAAAATGAATTTAAAAAAAATGGACATTATGAAACTTTTTCAATGACATATTCAGATAGAGCGCGCTTTTTTGCATCTAGTCATATACTTCTGTCTGTCTGAGAACTAGTAGTAAAAATAAAAAACGAACGACAAGTTGAAACTTCTTACTGTCCATATAATTCTGAGCAGAACTGTATAACCGGATGTTATGCGTTTTTTAAAAAGTTAACACTTTGAAGAAAATTGAAAAAACCACTGATGAGGTCTGAAAATTTTGAGATCTAAAAATGTCACACTGTTACGCATCTTTTATAAAAACTAAAGGGTAAAAACTGTCAGGCTCATCAGAAATGCGGAAGAAAGGTCTGCACGCAATGGTAAATAAACTACGAATCTACCTGCTTTACTTTTTGAGAAATGTGAAAAAAACATCTCCGTTGCGTTTGTCTAAATCGAACAACAGAGAAATATATTTGAAGTACAGATACGAATCGTGCAGAAAACCAATTCATCATTAATCTATCGTACTGTCTGAGTGTCATCGAATGATTGATTCTTGTTTAGACAGGGAGATTTGGCTTGGTATGAAAAAAGACGGTACTCTTAAGTGAATTCTCAAATAATTGTTGTATATTCTTAGGTCGAAAAGAAAACGTTTATTCGGTATCCTTGAAAATAAATGAAATATACTTCTTCTTGTTGAAGTTAATTGATATTCGACGGGGAGTAAATCGAACCAATGAGATAATTCGTCTTGAGAAAAGATCGTAGAGCTTTGTGTGCTATTTGTCAAGCTAAGATTTTTCTCAAATTATTGCTGCTATAGTCGTAATTTATTTAGGGTAAACCGTCGCCTCCTAATGCAGTGTGGCCACATCCACAACAAATACAAGTTGTCGGTACAGGTTTATTGTATCTGAATTCCAGACAATTAACGATCATTTCGAATCTGGATAATTGTATTATAATTAAAAGTGCAAAAGAACGCTATGCAAATATATTTTTTCCACCAAAATTGAACATTGCCAATCCACCGTCAAACGTAAATATACTGGAAAGTTTAACATTAATAGTTAAAAGCAAAGTTTGTGAAGAACATTTAAAATTAACATCTGATGAATCTTGTGAGTATTACAGATTTTTGTATTATTTGACTTTTTACTGTTCTGAACTTTCTGCATCAGATAAACTAAGCATCAAAGACAAGAAAGCTGATATCGAAGCGTCAAATGTATGGGGTATATTGCGTGGCATTGAAACATTCTCTCAACTACTATTTATTAATGATGAAAATCAAGTTAGTAAAATTATCTAAGCTTGACTGTATTATCATTAGTCTGTTTACTTTTTGTTTTTTAAGGTTATAGTGAATGATACTGTGATAATCGATGATAGTCCAAGATTTCGTCACAGAGGTATAATGTTGGACACAGCTCGACATTACCTTCCAGTTCCAATATTAAAAAAGAATTTGGTAATATTTCACAAGTTAACATTTGTTTAGAACTTTCCCATTTTTTATCTCATCATTGTAGGATGCAATGTCTTACAATAAATTAAATGTATTTCATTGGCACTTGGTTGACGATCAGTCTTTTCCCTATGAAAGTAAAGCATTTCCAGAACTTTCGAAAAAAGTAGTATCTAAATCTACTATTGATCCAAAATATTTTAATATCAGTCTACTTTAGGGAGCATATTCCCAAGATCATATTTATACTCAACAGGATATTAAAGAAATAATTGAATTTGCTCGACTTCGAGGTATCAGAGTAATTCCTGAAGTAAGATCTCCTTGAAACGACTTGTATTTTGATTACTCTCTTTTATTTCTTCTTTTCAAGATTGATACGCCAGGTCATACATTTTCGTGGTTCAAAAGTCATCCAGGTATAAATTTTGTGGAACTCTTTTCAATAATTTTTGAGAAACTAAAGAAAAATAACGGTTTGATTTATTAAATTTGTTATAATAAGTATAGCAGAAAAAACAAAAATTTCAAATAATTTTTCTTCTTCCACTCACAGAAATAACCTTACAGTTCCATAAAGAACGTTAATAATCTTAACGGGAAGAAATTTTAGTTTAGAACATTAGGTCTATGAATAAAATAATTTATATGAGTTTAAAAATCATTGCTTCAAAATTTGATTATGTAATATATTGTTGTTTTTCAGAGCTAATAACGGATTGTTGGAAAGATGGTAAACCAAATCAAGCTATTTACGCTGTGCACGGCGAACGAGAAATTTTTGATGTAACAAAACCTGTAGTTTATGATATAATGAAAACATTATTAAACGAAATGCATCAAGTGTTTCCAGACGGTTATATGCATTTGGGTACTGTTCTACAAATGAAATTTGATACGTAAAAATTTGATTTTACATTTTTTATTACCTTGCAGGAATGGATGAAGTGTACGACAAATGTTGGTTAGTCGGGTTTTTGTAACAAATAATTTTATTTTTATTTGATGTACTGTTTTGTATGAATAGGTTATCTAATCCTAATATAACAAAATGGATGAAAGATAACAACATGAGCGATGCTACTGCATTACATACATATTATGCGTACAAAATTCTAAATATAACAAAAGATATTGGGATGATACCAGTGGTCTGGCAAGATGTTTGGGATGAGAAGGTTAAGTTGCCGAATGATACAATAATTCAAGTCTGGAAAGATAAAAGTGATAATGATGAATTTGATAATTGGGCATCATACTTAAATAAAGTAGCAAGAGATGGATATAATGTTATTTTATCTAGTCCATGGTATTTAAATTATATCAGATATGGAAAATATAACACAAACGAATCAGTAATGAACCTGGACTTTTTTAGATATTATGAAGTCGAACCATTACGAGCGTTTTCAGGTATATAATAAACAGATTTATACTTCATTACTCTAAACTTGATCATATAAACTTGTTTTAGGTAATGAACAAGAAAAAAATCGAATACTTGGTGGTGAAGCCTGTTTATGGGCCGAATTTGTCGATGGGACCAATTTGCTTCCACGAATTTGGTAAGACATATAATAAGTCATTTTTTTAATGCCAATCGAAAGTGTAGACATCAGCAGAAAATTACAGTAGTCACTTTCCAAACAACCTCTTTGGTTACTAATTCAGGCCCGCGGCAAGTGCTGTTGCTGAACGTCTTTGGAGTGATCGAAATGTAAACAATCCGGAAGATGCACAGTTTAGATTAGATGTCCATCGTTGTCGATTATTGAGGTAGGAATACAATCATAGATGCTTAATATCGACTTATAATTTTTGTCACTTTCAGACGTGGGATCCCTGCTCAGCCGATATTGAATGGCTATTGTGGAAATTATGAACCTGGTATGGCAAAATCGATGATCGACGATCCTATATTCAACTACAAGGTCATGCCGGTTAATGATGGACTGAAGTTTCGATATAGTTTGCTTCTGTTAATTATACTGATTATTTGCAGTAGTCCAATAATATTATACAATTAAAATCAATCATGTTGAAATTTATCGTTTTTCCTCTAAAATGTTTTAAAATAAATTTAATAAACAAAACATCATCTAAGAATGTGTTATCAAGAACGGATGGTATTTTCTTTACTTATGAATAAAGATTCATATGGGTTTTTAAGTAGAGTGTTCTGACACAATGACTATTAGACTGTAGTCTGTTATTGTGAAAAAAGTGAGGATGTGCCAATTAGATAATCTAGAAGGGCCAACTGACTGGTTGTCACATAATTTTAATTTCTTTTTTTGTATTGAAACTTTCCTTCATTTCTGTTATAAATGCTTTTTACTCAGTCAAAAAAGTAATTTGATCTTTCAGACTGTAAAAAGAAGATAAGAAAAACAGAAGAAGAAAAATGTGTGTAGAAGGTTCCTCTTCTTCATATTAACTAAAACATCCGTGCTGCTACTGAAAAAGTTTATTAAGTTGCCGAATTCACACCTAAACAAATTATAGTGACAAAAACCATGTAACAATGGCGACAAAAACTCATTTAAAACTACCACCAGCATGGGAAATGGATCCATGGGTTTGTAATCACCACGGTGGGCGTAATCACACAAAGCATGAGCATGTAAACGCAGATAGTAACTGCAAAAGATCTCATCGATCCAAAATCAGACCATTGTGGGATTCAGATTCAGAATGGACTTGTCAACATGCTATAAGAAAAACAAGTAATGAGAAACACACATAAACTCAAAATTGGTATCTGTAGAAGTAGAAATTTCTTTGAAGTTCCCGATACTGGTGAAGTCTGACTAAGTAATGTATTACCAGTAGAAATATTTCAAAGATCTTCTTTCTGTAGTGCTCGAGATGGTTGAAAACTTGTCGGTAAATACTCTTGATTTATTGCAGTTTTCATTTAATTTTTCAATGATAAAAGTAAATTTTACGAACTTGTCCGCTTTTTGACGTCAGTGTACAGAGACAAGGAAAATGTAATACCTATCAGTGAGGAAATACATAAAAACTACACGAAAGTAGCTTACTCATTTACACGATGCATTATAAGGTGTATCAGCTTTTTTCACATTCTCTTATATTATTTCCAACTTTTTTGTCTAGATGGGACGAGTTCTGCTGGATGTGATACAGCATCAAGTGATCGGCGACATTCGTCCCGTCGAACGAAAACAAAACGACTCATCTCACGTCCATTATCAAAAGTAATTTCACCAAATCATTACAGCACTGATTCTACAAGTCTTAAATCTGGTACGCGAACTCCTCTATTAATTCCAAAAATGTCGGCCAAATCCCGTAAACGTTGGTTACAAGTGCATGATGATTACCTAGGAAAATGGTCTTACTACACAGTACAGGCGGGGAAACCGCACAAACAGGGAAAAGTGAAAAAAACTGGAGAAATTTCTAAACAAAATTTCTATTCAAAATATGATGGTACAACATCTATTATGTCTCGATGTGAATCGGAAGATGAACGCGAACATCTACAACAACAGTTACGTGTATTACCCACGTTATCGGGCGACGCACATCGTGCATCACATCTGAAAGCGATAGATTTTGATAAACTTAGTACATCGAGTAGTAAACAAGGCTCAATCAAATATAAGAAAAAACGACATGAACGACCGAAAACGGCTCATAATGGAACTGTCAGTCAGATGGAATCATTGGAAAATGGATTAGGCTTAGAGCATGAAATACAAGATACACGAGAAGGAAGAATATTACCGCCACGAACTAGTTGGTTAAGCTCATCGGACACCAACATTACCACGACAAAATCGAAAGCACGTATTAAAAGTGGTCTGTTAGATCGTTTGAAAGCGTTTTTTCAATCTCGATCGCAATCATTGAGTCGAATATCGTTAACCACAACCATCGCGTCCATAGATAATCAGTCAAATATAGAATCATCAATATTAAAGAAGAAAACAACGATAGCAAATTTAATTCGAGATGATTTTGATGATAAATGTGTTGGTACTGAAATAGCTAGATCACACCAATGTCAGCATGTTAAAATACATGATGTTCGTGACCAATGTATTCAAGTTGATATTGCACGCCCTTATTTTAACTTAAAATATGACTATGATGATAAAGGGGTAGGTACAGAATGTTATTATGATACAAAAATTCCATCAGCTAATATCATTTATGTGGATAAATCGATAGAAACAGGTGAAGATTTTATTCAACATATTTCAGCAGTCAATTGTTTTTCATCATCTTCTTCAAAAGATAAAAAAAAACAAGAGATATTTCAAACGGACAATGACAAAAATAAAGATTTATTCAATAAAAATAATAACAATCCTTCCGATAAGCAAGGTGAAAGTATTCAGCACAAAATGGGGAAAAAGTCAAATACGAACAAGAATAATAGTAATTTATCAACAAATATACAAGATAATTTATCTAAAAATGAAGAACATAATATCAATGGTGGAAAGGATACTAGTGCTAGTAAAGGACAAATACTGCCATTAAGTGATATATTTCACGCAACAACAAACTATTTAGATAATAATAATGAAAGTAATGTAAATGAACAATTTAGGAGGTAAGATAGAACACTATCAATAATTGTAGTCTTATCATTCATTCGCTCTGTTATACCATAGTATCACTTGAAATAGATCAAAATTCAGTAATTTTACCCTTCATGTAATATCATAAAGCTACTCAGACAAATTTATTTGGATAAAATAATGATGTAATATCATCATCTCATTTATGAAATCCATCTACTCACTCAGTCGTGAACTATTTGAGAAATAAAAGATGTTCTTTGAGGTCAATTGTATGGTCGAGATTTAAAATCAACATAGTTTAAGCTTTTTTCTCATCTCATCTCTGTGCTCTTTTCTAAAACACTCATCATATTGTCTTTGTTATTATGGCACACTTCACTTTTTTCCTTACATATACATACATGATGCACAACGATATTGCTCATTTTCTTGAACACAGTATATATATATACACTGTTGTCTTGGTTCCATTGTTATAGAAGAAATGAAATCGTATAAAAAAATGTTCACGTATAAGCTGTTTAGTAATATAACTTTTGTTTTATGTAAAAAAAAAAAGATCGAAAATGTTCACAATCAATATTTCAATAACATTCTTCTGTTTTTTCTTGTCATCCAACGAATGTAAATGAGCAAAAATGTATCGTCTCTATTCAATTCCAGGCTTGCAATAAGATTTAACAAATTATCAAAAGAACGACGGATATTAACATGGTTATTAGGAATATTTTCATGTATCATGATTTGTCTCCTTATTGGCATTTTTCTGTTGGCATTAGCTTTTCATGGCAAGTGACATATATTTTACAGAAAATGTACAGAATTCCTAAGAATATAGTCAGTTAGATACCTCAAGTAATCGAAAGAGATTAGCACGATGATATTATTAACTATGAGCAGCTCCTCGGTTTAAAAAAACAGGATTTTTTACCCATTAATTCAAAAGTTCACCTGTGTTAAGGGCATTCACGAATTATCAATGGTAACAGCACCACTAGTGAAGGTAAATCTAGCATGAAAAAGAGAATACATCTCTATATTTCTTCTATTTTTCTGTTATCATACACAGCAACTATTGAGATTGCCACATCAAGTCGTTCAATAACGACTACAACAAGTGCTATCATGCGTAGTACAAGCACAATTTCTAATTCACCTATTACGTCTGCTATAATCACCACTATTACGACTACAGCAACTAAGCCGCGTAAGATGTTGTGTTTTTCTTTTGTACTACAGAACACGGCAAATATCTGATATACTGATCATCTCACTGGGCTTATTCTGGCATTTTACCATACTAAGCTTTTCAACTATTTTACTTCACTTCTTTCGCTTGTTTGTGTTTTAATCTTGATTAATTTACACATCTGGTGTAGTGCAATTTGTACACGTGACTAGCACAACATTCAACATTTTAGCTGGTAAATTTGGAGAACCATGTGATTTGGCCAGCGATTGTATAACGCCATTTATCTGCGACAAGAGATCCGGTGTTACAACAGGTGTCTGTCGATGTCCCTTAAATTATGATTTTACGAGAAACTATTGCGGTAACTTTTATTTACAAGAAATAATATTACACTAGAGCTATGGTTCTCAAGTAACGACTATATTTTTTTCAGTAGGAAATATTAATGCTATCTGCGCCATAGATTCTGATTGTCAACGAAACATGTTGTGTAGCGCCGTGTCTTTGACAGGAGCTCGACAGTGTAAGTGCAAAGCACACTATTTATACGATTATGATGCAAAACGGTGCAGTAAGTATAATTTGTTTCAATAACTTATTTCAATCAAAACCACACAAATAAATGGATATTTTTAATTATTAGGAGGCGATTTTAACGCACCATGTGAAACAAATGATGATTGTTTAAAAAACGGTGTTTGTAATAGAAGTGGAAGGCAACCATATTGCGACTGTACCGAATATTATCAATATTATACCACTATTCAAAAATGCCGTAAGTTAACTGACATATGAGCTCATTAAGACGTTTACTAAGATACCAAGATTTTACTTCTCTTTTAAGAAAACAGATACCATTATGTTTCCTTTTCCATATTTATATTCAAAGTAAACCAAAGTATCTGTAGTGACGGCATTGCTCTTTCCATTCTAGTTGGAGATCCTGGTGCAGTATGTCAAATAGATACGGACTGTACAGATAATGCTGAATGTCCGATGGGTACTGGTCCAATACAGAGGTTGTGCTCATGTGCTAGACAATACGTTGAAGATAATTATCGGAAATGTGGTATGAACGCCCTCATTTCTAAGCATGATTCATCAAAAGTTCACTCTTTTTCTCCTTTCACAGTTGATCCGTGTCCGTCCTCAACCGTGCAACTTAAAATTGTGCGTCATCCAGGCAATTGTAAAAGATTTGTTGATTGTGAACACAAGTACATACATGAACATTTTTGTTAAATAATAGTTTGACAAAACTCTCCTGTATTTAGGCGAAAAGACGAGTGTCCGGGTAAATCGTTTTTTAGTCTCAAACTGCAGAAATGTGTACCAGAATTTTCGCAAGCGGAATGTGATTAACAAGGTATATTACACATAAGGTATATTTAACAATCATTCGCTTTTTACGGATTTTATTATAATTTATTTTAAAATTTTGTTCATTTTTCAAACTCTTTCTTTATGAAATAAAAGTTTTGTTACAACAAGTAGCACAAATGAATATACCTTTATGAAATTTGCATAAATTGCTTCAAATGAACAATACAGAAATATTACAAACAATTTAAATAATTTAAGCTTACGGCTTTCCAATGAAAGGAAGATGGCGCAACTGTACAGCTGAGTCCTAGTGACATCCGCCCCAAACTAGTGATTGATGCTTTTTGTTTCATGAGGTGTTATACACTAGATGCAACTTTATCATGCAGTATTCCACATCATGATGGATACTTCTGAAATCCAATTTATTGATGATATCTCTGTCAAATAGTAAGATTCAAGCTGCGACTAGCAAGAGATCGAGATATGTTAAACAGAAGTCAGAAGCAAGATTTTACATTCAATGAAATTTTTTGATGTATAACATTCATTATGACAACTTTCTCCTAGCGTTTTCTCCTGATCCTTCTCAACCGCAATCACCATGACCGTGGATTACCCTTAATTCATCTCGTGCAAGTAAAAGCGTTAGCTAGGCATATAAGTTTCTTAGGAGCTCAGATCTTATTCAGTTTTTTTCCATATAACGGCATTCAATAGTCCACAATATGGGCATCCTGATCAAAAAGGCTTGTCTATGCTCTTTCAACAGCAGAATCTGATACAGTCAGTTCTAATTTATTCTACACTTATTTTGTGCTCCTATTGATCATATTTGCTATTTTAGATTAGCTAGAAAAAAATTTCATGATGAAACAACAAAACGACGATTTATTGTTTACATATCTAAATAAAATTGAAGATTTTCTGTCGTACGTTTATCAGTTTGCTGACTTACTTTTTTATATCTCATTTTATGTTTTTTTTTGTATTTAGTTCTGATGAACAACGACACAAAACATTTCAAAATTATGTAAAGCAATTTTCAGATATGAAATGTTCAATTTTACCGGAAGTCGAACTTTCAGTTCATGTCAACGGTTTTAACAATGAACAAATATATCAACAACTCAAATCAATAAATGATAAACGTCTCAAAGTATTCATGAATTATATTGTTAAAAATAAAAATAAAACTAAAACATTTGGTGACATTCTTGAACCTCCTAAAGTTGAGGAAGCAGATAATGAAGAGATTATTACAACAGATACTGAAGTTCCAGAACAAGTACTGGAGAAAGAGGCAGATAATCTACGAATTGTGAAGAACAAGCAGAGAAAATCAGTCACGTAAGTATTAAAATTACTCTTACACATTATTCTATAGATATCCGTTGTTTGTTTATTTTTAAGATTTTTCGATATGAATGCTATGTCAACATTTCTTGAAGAGCAAGATGCAAACGAATCTACTGAGTATGTAGACGAAAAATGTTCTTTGCTAATACAAATCTTTTTTTGTTTTTACAGACCAACAAAAAAAACACGCAATAGCGAAGTCGATACAGACGATGATTTTGATCTCGATGAAGATGACGATTTATTGTTACCCGACGCCGAAGTATGTAAACGAAGCTCTCTCATTGAACATCCAAGAAATACTTTGTTTTTTTTTGCTCTTTTTAGCAAGGTACAATGTATGAAGACTTTTTTGACCCTCCTAAAACCATCAAGAGCAAAGAGAAAAAAGAAAAGAAACAAAAAAGGTATCTTTTATACAGTATGAATAATGAAAACGAATTATATTTAATTTTTTATTATAGGGCGATAGATGATCAAGCAGAAATCGACAATTTTAAGGATAAAATTGACGACGATGATCAGAATGATCTGGAAGGGAAGTCAGATTTTGAAAAACATCAAATACAAGTAAGATGAGTACGGTGATTGATCGATATCTGCAATTTAAACTAAGATTTTTCATTTATAATTTAGTTAAAAAAACAAATCAAGTCGATTGAAGAAGAGATGTTAAGTGCAAAACCATGGCAGTTGAGTGGTGAAACAGATAGTTATAAGCGACCGGAAAATAGTTTGTTAGAAGAATATTTACAATTCGATCGAAATACAAGATTACGTATGCGTATTTGTATAATTGCTAGAATTATAAATAAAATAAAAAAATCTTTGATTTTTTACTTCAGCCCCTGTCATAACAACGGACACGACTAATTCAATTGAGCAATTAGTGAAACAACGTATTCGCGATAAAGCGTTTGATGACGTTGTTAGAAAGAAAAAAACGGCGGAGGATGCGAATGCAAAAACTTATAAAAAAGATGTTATACTTGAACATGAAAAAAGTAAAATGAGTTTAGCACAAGTATACGAGAAAGAATATGTTAAACAACAAACGGTAAATGTAGCAAATTCTCTATTTTTTATAGTACATCCTATGAACTGTATTTTTCTGTCGTTTTTAGCACGAAGAAATCGAGAAAAAAGATGAACGTCATGAAACAATAAGAAAAATGTTACAAAAATTATTTGTCGAATTTGATGCATTGTCAAATTTTCGTTTTACACCTAGACCGGTATGAGAAATTGTTTTTACTTTGATAATGCTTTATTTCAATTCTAATTGATTTTTATCATCTTTTTCAGCCAGTTCCTGAAGTCACGGTCGTAAATAATTTACCAGCAATTATGGTCGAAGAAATTGTGCCAACAACAGTAAACGATGCAACGTTACTTGCGCCCGAAGAAGTACATGTATGTCAACTAAATGCTATTTACGCAAACAGCTATTTTAACTGGTGTTAGCTGAATTTGATTTTTTTAGATAAGACCAAAAGGTGATGTTAAAAGTGCAACAGAAAAAACAAAAACAGACAAAAAACATGACAGACGTTTATTAAAACAAAAACGAAAAGAGAAAGCGCAGGAGAAAGAAAAAACCATAACAACAGAAGCCAATGATGAGAAGAAACAAACACAAGGTAAAACTTCATAAAACTCTAAAAAATATATTTGTTCTAAGAGCAAGAAAACTAGTTTAATCTAGTTTTCACTGATTGTTCTTGAAGAGAATTTGTTTTAAACTTAAACATCTTAATAATATGAATATTATCATTTTTAGAAGAAAAACGTGCTCTTTTGAAAAAACTAGGCAAAATGAAGAATGTCCGAATTGAAAAGGTACTTAAATTTTATTTTTTATAAATATCTTTGTGTTTTTATATAATTTATTATTTTAGACGGATAAAAAACATTCTAAAACAAAAACAGCCCGAGGCACGACACAATTTTTTCAACAATTACAACAAACAACAACAAGTACAGTAGAAAAACGTCGTCGTCCTGATTCGTCATTTTCTACGGCTAATTCGAAAAAATTGAAACTTTAGCCAAATAAATCGTTTTGCTCCTTGTTCTGTAGACATCGTATCGATGTCTCTTTGTTATTTTTTTATAAAATAAATTAAAAAATACTAAATGAACGCGATCGAAGGATTATCTAACAATATCACAGCTTTTATTCGGAAGTTTTGAAAATCTTTGATAATAATTTAAGTAAATCATAGTTTTAGCAAATGAAGAAAACAGTACTTTTATCCGTGACTTCAATCCACATTTTATATTTTCTTTATTATCAACAAAACAAAGAAACTACAAATATTTTATCTATTAGAAAAATAACATCATTGAAGAAGATTACTGTATAAGTCAATAATAAGAATAAAAAATAAACATGTTTCGTTGTAAAAAAAAAGAATCTTTTCTGCATTAATCATATGAAATAGGAATCCCTAACATGTCTAGTAATAAGTGTTTTTCTATTAACACGTTTTAAAATATCAAAAAAAAGCAATAACTACAGTAATAGCAAATACAATAGAGCAACAACTAAAAACAATAGCATGCATCATTGTGTGCGTGTATCTGAGTTCGAATCTGATTATAAAAGAAAAAACATCAGTAATAAGAAAAATACAGATGTATATGTAAAAAGTATTGAGCTTTATTTATTACCTGAGTAAGCCATCGAAAAAAAAATGGCAGCATGTTGGAATGTTAAAAGTGTAGAAACTAACAGAAAGTAATTCGAAAAAAGTATCAGTTATCTAGAGTTTGAGAAAAGTGCTGTTCGACAACAGCGAAGAAAACACATTCAAGTGATAGAAAAGCTAAACAAGTGATGTTAATATACACAATAGAAAAACGAGAAAATATAAAAAAAATTTTTTTTATCACGTTTAGTTATAAATGAGTTAATACCACAGTGAGAGCACCACTATTATATAGATAGACAATTAAATAAATCGAACTTAACTTGAGATCGTAGAATGTTAGTTGCAAAGTTGATACGATCATATATAGAGGAAAATTATTTATAAAAAAAATGTATTAATACATAGTTGATGAAGTTCGCCTGTTGCCTTGGTACGACAGGAGGCAGTCTTTTAAATATAGTTTCGATCCTTTAGTATGGTCATTGTTTTCTCGCTATTACCAGCGTCTTGTTTAAAATCAGATAAGACGTTTTCATTTGATTTTAAAGTACGATTTTGTGAAGTTTTTGATTTACCTAAATAACAAAGCATAGGCAATTTCATTGATTCAACAGACAGAATAAAGAAAAGCTTCAGCAAACAATATAATTGATCATTTGAAACACAAATTTCTTTACTGCGAAACTAGGATAGATAGTATGAAGAAAAGAAATTTGACTACACAGCATATCATTAAGTGAAACGAAACATATTAGCACGGTGAAGATGTTAAATAATCCGAGACACCTATCTAGCACTTACCACTAACAAACTGGTATATCACGAGTTAATAATGCTGACGATGTTGCTGTAAAAAGATTACAAAACAACATCGAATAACGTACAAAACAAGATTTTTTAGTTCGGAACGCCTATTGCAAAAAAAAGGCAAAAGTTTTAAGGAAAAGCCATCAGCAGAACGGCCAGAGAACCAGACGATGATTTATCAAACTTTCGGGGCAAAAACTCTCAAAAAGAATATAAATTATTGAACAACAGTCGGGATTAAAAAAAATAAGGCTCCGGGCGTTTAATACACACAGTTCAACACGAATACAGTCGTACTCATCGTACACACACTCCTGGCTTTATTGCAAACGCTGTTAGCGATCGCAAGAAACAAAATATCAAATTTGGAGGATGTTAAATAACAAAAATTCCTTAGAAGTAACAAGAACTGACATTTGTGTAAAAATATCTTGTTTTTCGCCCGATGAATACAATAGGAGAATGCCAAAGGGCACAATGTAGAAGAGTTTGCGCGGTTGTCAAGAAAGATGAGCATGTTTTCGAGATACGGAGATCAATAATATTGGCTATGTTTGTATTCACATCTGATTCTGATAGAAAACAAAAAACAATATACTCGCTACACATTGTGTCAAAATATCGCGCTGAAGAAAATAATCTTTACACGAATAGGTACGAAAAATTGTTACCCTGCGAGCAGAAGATGAGTTTTATTAAAATAAAAGAGACAATCCAATGAAAATTTGCAGGATGCACTGGAGATCTTACCTATACCAGGTCGCCGTCTTCTCTGAGGATTTAAGATATTTGTATCTTTTAATGCGGATCGCAAATTTGATACAACATTAACGTCTTCATCTGACGGTTTAAAGAATGTATTTTGTTCATTTTTATTTTCATTTCGTTGTCGTTTTTTGCCCTCTTCAATGATCTGTTTAGCTATTTGAGCACGACGAAGTTTTTCTTCTTGTTCACGACATAAACGATTTTCTTGTAAACACGTCTTGTGAGAAAACAAAAATAGAGTGATCTATCTTGCCTTTTGATAAATTATCGAGATTGCTTACAGAAAAGATTGTACAAAATGCTTTTAAATCTGCAAAAAATTCATTCAAACTATATTTCTTCCCATCCATTGTTAAAAAGTCACATAAATCTTGAAAAGCATTTGCCATTTTTGTATTCAATCGTTCAAGACGTTCAACGTCATCATGAGCATGTTTGACAAAATTCTAACAAAATAAAAGGACTATTATGAATCAAGTTTAAAGAGTGAGACATTTAAAACACAACCTCCATTGCCTCAACAAAACGATCATTTGGATCTTGTAGAGGCGTTTTTTTACAATTATCCAAATCTAACTGTGCATTATTCACACGTGATTTGATTTCTTGTAATGTTTTTTGTAAATCATTTGTATCGACTATAAGAACCAAAAAAATATTGACAAATGTCTACAGTACTAGAAAATAGAGTACATACTTTTGGCTGCAACTTCAGTAACACCTTGAAATTCATCTAAAAATTTGAGCAGGTCGGGCTGGTCCTTTTCAATCTCTTGTGCCATAAAATGTAATAATGTTCGTTTTCCATCGTTTGCTTTTGTTGCATGTAACTGAAATAAATGTATTATTTTTATCTGTCCTATGTATACTATAAAATGGTACACACTCTTGGTAGAAATGTGATATCAAAACCATAAACAGGTTCGTATGATTTGGCACTTGAATTCATGTAGTTTCCAACTGTCAAAATTAGTTCAAGTATTTTATGAAATCGTTGTGATTTTCGTACAGTTTCACAGGCATGACGTCCAGCTACGAGATGCTGAAAAGATCAAGAATATTAAATAAGCACGAACAAAATTAAGTAACTTTTACCTTTTCTATTTCTTCTAATTGTTCTTTATATCGAGCTTTGAACAATAGAGTTTTAATTCGTTGCGGTAAACGTTTGATATCACTGATCTAGAAGATAGCCCAACTCAATGAAATTTAGTTATTTTTGACTATGAACATACAGCGCAAAAATATTGTTCCGAATCTGGTAAATCATTCATTTCATGTTTTAAATCCAGTAATTTTTTCAACTCTTCTGGTGTTGGTAATGATCTGTCGAGTTGGCCTAATAAATCACTTGTTAAATGGTCACTATCACATGACATTAACCACTGACGAAATTGTTGTGGAGTTGATTTAAGTTGACTAAACATGATGGCTAAACAGAAAAGTGTAAAAGATTAGTTTTCCGTCGATGAAACAAATAAAATGCACACTTACCAAAGTTTTGTCCAGCACGGGCGTCAAGTACACGAAACTGTTTTGTTTTTTTAGTTGTTGCTTCATTCTCGCTTAAATCTGTATTTAATCCTTTGACTAGGAATAAAAGAAAAGGTGCTGAAATCGATAAAAGATGGTACTCATTTGTACTTACATGCCGCAGATTTTGTTGAAAAATTTTCTTTTAATGACGAAAAAAAAGTTTTATTCTGATATTTTGTCTCATCGATATTGACCCATAATGATTCTTTTTTAATCAAATGCGGATTAACCTTAAACAGAGATACATGTTCAACAATAACAGATAATAAAAAAGAAATTAACCATTGACTTTACTTTATTCCAATTGACTTTCTTTATAGCTTCATCTACAGTATATTTATGTTTTGCTGGTAAATAGTCGGGCAACGGTGGCGGACCTAAAGGGAAAATAGTCTTATTACACTAAATTGACACAAGAAAAAGCTACGATGAGTATTGTTACCTAAGAGATGGGTGTTTCAGTCATTGGGGATGGCGGTGGAACAATGCCGCTCAAAAAAGGAGATGAAATGTCAAGAGAAACAGAAAGTAGCGTGGAAGGGATCATAGAAATACCTACAAGGGAGAACACAGACAAATATTTTTATCCGTTACACGTTAGACAAGAGTGAAAGGCGAAGCTCAAGAATGAAACGCAAATGCACTGGAAAAGGAGAAGCAACCAAAAGCAAGACCAAAGAAAGCATTAGAAACACAACAACAAAAATTAAGAATTGTGAATGAAAGTAGAATCAATTTCTAAGTATCCAGTTCACAATGTACAGCGAATCAAAGCAAACACTAATTAATCTGAGTCGGTTTAATATCTTCTCATTACAAAACTAAAAAGGTGATGTATAAAAGAATTTTTCTTCTGTGATCAATTTCTGCTGTATATTAGCGAATATAAATCTTAATCGATACGTAAGTTTCATAGTTTAAGCATTTCTTTGAAATCAAAACTTTACCTGGTGGTGCTTGAGCGCCGCTCATTCCCGGCGGTGGTAGAGGGGCGTTTGAACTCGAACTGAAGAATGGAGGAGGAAGTGGAATGTTGGAAGAAGCAGAAAATGGACAAGAGGGTGCTGTCGGAATATTGCTTGAATCGAAAAACGGAAAAGGAGGTGGTGGTGGTATATTTGTTGATGGTTGAAGATCAGTTGGAATTGTTATCTGATGAGGACCTTTGAATATATCGGCATATTGTTTTTTAATATTTTTTGCTGTTTCCTCGTCGACCTAAGACGAATAAAGTTTCCAAAGATTACTTTGCAGAACAATTAAGAGTCTTACATTTGTTAATAACAAATCAATAAGCTTATTTAATTTTTCTTTATTTTCCTCTAAATATTCAATTCGTCCTTTTAATAATCCAATATTAACATCATGTTCAGCTGATAAAACGCTTGACGGTGTGTTCATTGTATGCGATATATCACTTAAAGAACCATCTGCACGAATCGATGATGGATCACTGACTCCAGAATCTGCTTCGCTACTAAGAGACCATGTATCAAAATCTGGATCGCGTGCCTGTTTGGAAAACACAATTTTTGTTATACATTCATCAATTAATTTTAGATAAGCATATCTAAAAATAAATAAGAATAAAAATTGATGCTAATTGTTGGTGAGATCAATTTACCTGACTGCTGGATCATCTCTAATACAAATTAAACGATTTAATATACTCGATAAAATATGTTCTGATGTTGTCCCATGCACTAATTGATAAAAATATTCAAAACAAGAGTGAGAATTTGACCAAGATCCCGAAATTAAATCAAGTTTTATATTCATTGATTGATAATCTTCTTCAATCTTTTTATAAAATAAATCAACTTGTGTTACTGCATTTTCTTTATATTTTAGATCAGGGCATTCATCAATTTTCTTTTGTAATTCCTAAACAAACGAATGTTTAACGTTTTAAATGGTCCAGAAATACTACACCTTCTCACTTCAAAACGTTTCTTAAAACCAGATCGAAACAATTCACTTCTAAGATGATAACGATGTTCGGTTGATAATGTCACAAATATAGCGTTAATACACATCAAATAATCACCCTAAAAAAGAAAAAGATTGATGAAAATATTGACTATTACATTATTTAATAATCGACACCTACAGAAACGTCAATTGTATTATCTAAACCGTCAACTAGACAAGCAAAACGTTCACGTTTATGACACCATTTTCGAGCTGATGTAACCAGAAATGCTGCTATATCTCGACCGTTTGTGGGACTAAAAAAGTGTAAGAAAAAAAACGAGAATATACGATTTAAATAAAATGTTACTTTAACTTACTTTGATTCATTTGGCATCGCTAGTGTAAACAATACAATGGCACAACTATGTTTCGTTTTTGTTACACGTTCGTCTTTTTCATCGTATAATAAATTCAATACGTTTATCGTACATCTAGCTATATCCATTGCTAAACGTTCTTTCAATGAATTAAAATTCCACTAAAGAAGATATCAGTATTTTTAAATAAAATTCATAGTTTATCTTTAACACTTACACCTAAATTTAAATAGTTTTTGAATGCTTCAATTCCCGCTCCAATTGTATCGTATAAATTATTTATTTTCTCTTTTCTTGGATCATTGTCATGATTTATTTTCCTATAATCAAATAAAAACTTACATAACTAATTCGAAAAACATACATACTCTACATTACTCTCGAGTCAATTGAACTTTTTCAATAAATATGTTTAGAGCTGAACACAATGAGTTTGGTCCACGATTATTTTCACCAAATATTTTACTCCATCTAGAAGAAGAGAACAAAAAAAAACCGATGAACTGGTCCTATGATAAACAAAAAGAGATAAATACATACTTTAGTCCATATTTTTTTAATGAAAATGCCACTTTATCAAAAATATCTTTACTATGTTTTGGAAGGTTGTCAATCGAAATACTGTTCAAAAAATTGATTTGTACCTCTGGTGCATTTTGACCGCTCATTTCATTCTTTCAAAAATAAAAGAGATAATGTTACAAGAGATATATTAAATGATGATAGTAAAGAGAACAAAGAAGAAATCTAATATTTTGATAAAAACTTACTGCTGCAAGATTAGAATGCGAGATTAGCATTGCTCTCATATGTTGCACACTCATTTGTTCAAATGTACGCTTTTTTGTTTCATTTCCCGTGAATAAATCATCCTAAAAAGAAAAAAACATTTTAATTTAACTTTTTAATAAAAGCATAAAACAAACATACCATAATTGTTTTGAATCTTTCTCGTAATTCTTCCTCAGAGAGTGAATTAATTTCTGGCTCATTATTTGATACCGTTATCGTTTGACTAACAGGATTTAAATCTCCATCATATGTCGATGATTGTGATGTGAATGATGTATTAATTGTACCATGACTATTGTTGTTGTCAGAGCCGCTATGACCAACAGTATTATCTATGCCGTGATCAAATGGTATTCCACCTCTAGATTTATGAGCTTTTGGCAATCTCATTGACGCCTAGAATAGAAAGAAAAGAAAAGAAGATATGACAAATTAAATGTTAAAGAACAAGAATTTACCACATAATTTTGAACTCTCGAAGATATTGTTCCCTGAATATAAAACAATATATGAAAGATTTATGAGAAAATTTTACAGCTCTCCTCACCCCTCCTTCTTTTTTCTTATATTCTTTCCCATCACTCATTTCGATTGATCAATATAACGACAAGATAATTGCAGTATCAGATCTATTTCATTTTCTACAACAATAAAAAAAAATTCTTACAAACTTATATTTACTTTTTGTACATTATAAATACGATAGTCCGAATAACAGGTCAACAAAAAAAATCATAATGAGATAGCCTAGAATATTAATAATTATGTGCTCTTATACACACGGCTCTCTATAAAAACAAAATTTCACAAAAATCAAAAAAAAACAATAGATTTATTACAAACACATTTACACATACGCGAAACTTTGTATACATAGCTTATTCTATCACTGTTATCCCGAAAAATGTTACTTAGTTTAACAGCAACGTTTTTCTTGTTTTAATAGATCCTCAATTGAACGAACTAGCAAAAACTTTGTGAAATAATACCATATATAACATCTCATATATTGAGTACCGCAAATCATACTAGCGTACGACTTTTTGTTTTTATGGAATTAGAATAATAATTTCATTTCTCTAATGTGCATCGGCATTATCTCCTGGACATAATTGTTCCAACTCTTCTTCGTCTGAAAACATAACTCCACACCAAAGACAGTAGAAATGTTTCTCACGCAAATAAGATGTTAGTCTTTCTAATTGACATTCCAAATCTAATAAATCAAATTGTTCTTCGCTCTCATCACCGTCATCTGCCACCTCATTATCGACAATGATTTCATCTAGTTGTTTTTTCCATAATATATTTTCAGTTAGTCCTATCTCTTTATCTAATCTTTCACATATCGTTTGACATTTGTTGATATCGATTTGTAGTCGTTTATTATGAAATTTTTGTTTCATTCGATCTTGAAATGTTGATTGTATGTGTTTAATATTATTTTCACGTTTAATTACATTTTCTTGACGTTTTTGTACTATTTCTTTTTCTTTTGTTTCTTGTCCTAAACCGGTTCGTGACGTATGAATTTTAATCGTCAATGGTTCAATTAATCCCCCTTTCTGCTCTGTTTCTCGTCCCAGTTTTGTTCCTTCACGATAGCCCATTTTTTTCAGTAACTGAAAACCTTTATTGTCGTTTGTAATCGCTGTTGTTAAACCTTGTTCACGTTGTTCTTGTTCTAACAAACGGCGTGGTTTTTCTTGTTTCTGAACAGATTCTGATCGTTGGTTTGTTGGAAGTAAACGTTTATGATTTAACGATTGTGGACCTGCCAATTTATCTGCCACTGCTAGATGAGCATCTGACATATAATCGTCGTCTTCCTCCTCCGTGACGTTTTGTTGTTCAACATCATTTTTGTCATCAATATCAAGTTTTAATTTTTTTGAACCAGATTGTTTAAACATGAAAGAATGAGAAGGAGATCTAAAATGAAGGGAAACAAAATCAGTATTTTGACCGGTCATATTTACAGGGGCGTAGATAACCTTCTCCCGCTTTTGAAAATTATTTCGATATCTTTTCTAGAATCCCAAATAGAAGAAACGAATATATTTTTTCCATCAGTGGAAAACTGTTTTTCTCCCCTTGCCTTTTATATGCAGATGCGTTACTTTTACTTTTCTCCAGGATAGTTTGTTTGCAAAGTTTTATGCTTATTCAACAAACTTCTTACTTAAACGTAAACTTCTCGTTTGTTTGAAAATGTTTATGTTTGTTTGAAAAAAACTCACAGAAAAAAAAACGCCGCAATAGGTATGATATTGCTATTGTTCTGAATAAAGTATCATCCATAACAAAGTCTCTGTTCAAACAATTGAACTTTTACTAAGTGACAATTACACATCAGTTATCAACAACCTGTGAGGGAACAATTCAAAAATGAAATGCAATAAAATGTGTACCGATAATTTCGTATCTGATGTAAGAGTTTGACTGTAGAATATTATATTAATGACACTTTCGTAAAATTTGTGAATAGATTTGTGGAGAAACACAACAACAATAGAATTCATCTCTCTTAACGGACATATAAACTTTAGAATATATCTTTTATTTCCTAGCGAAAATCAATATACTTAGTGGCAGCTTCAGAAAAAAAATTTAAGGATTCATAGATTAAAAATAAAGTTGATTCGAATGACTAATGGATTACTCATGTTACAAATCATAATAATCCTGATTTGATTTTATATGCACATCAGATGCACAAAAGATTTGTCTCGACTAGAAATACTTCCAAAAGTCTGTATAAAAGTACATAAATGCTAGTAAGAGATGAAAATATTTTTATTAATTTTGAATATTTATCTAAAACTTCAAAGTTCATTAATCGTAAATAATCTAGTATCAGAAAGGGCTCATGACGTATGACCGTAACTTTTGATGCTCTTAATATTTCTTTAGGTAAAGTTATATAAAATGAACTGATTTGCATTTCGGTTCCTTTTCATTTAGTTTTGCCTTTACTATCTTAGTATTGTAAATGATCTTTAATACGGAATCCAAATTATTTGTAAAACTAACATACGGGAAATAGCTAAATTATCCATCTTTAGCACGGTTGTTTTTTTATAATTTCTTGAAAATATTTCAGAACTTTCTTTTTGAAATACTTAAATAGTAGTCAACCTTTCTAGTATTAGATTATTTACGCTTAATGAAGTTTTACAGTGTACAGTTAATATAGCTGTAGCTTGATATAAAACAAACTAATTCACATTCTCAGAATGTAAGTAAAAGTTTAGATATGGACAGTATTTCAGAAGAAACTATCTCACATAATACTGGTTTTAAGAGAATCTCGATAAATAAAAGTATCCCACAAACTAAACTAAACAAACGCAAGAATTGATACCATTTGAAATTTTGGGGTGTCGAGTTATGGCTGTAGACGGACAATTAAGAATGAGGACACTAGTAATCAAGAGTGTATTGATCGGGAAAATAGACTGTACGCGTACATCCAACAATAAAATCTTACTATAAATCTAACAGATAATGACAGATTCGCATCTGCCGTTTTTCGATGCCATATATGAAAAATGTCCTTTTTGTTGTTTTCTACCAGAAATGTCAACTGAAAATTTTGGAGATCAGAAATATTAAAGAGCAGAATATCTTTTTTTGCCGAAAAACGCTGTAGTACTTTTAAATTTTAGCTGTTTCGAACCAGGTCTAATCTTTCTTCTTCGTGTTTTTTCTTTGTCTAATTTTATCTTTCGAGAAAAAAAGATTTTTACACGATGTCTGTATTTCAGTAGTTCGTGTTTCAAGTAAACTGTAAACAATTAAAACAACACACGAAACCATAGACAACACATAAATTTTTGCTTTATGTTTATGAGTATCACTTTTTACAGATCGGGTTCTGAACATGACAAATCATACAATTGTGTACAAGTAATATCAACATTCAGTCTTTGCAGTAATTTAACATTTTTCTGTCGGATCTATCTTCTCTAGTACACAACTGAAAAGGGTTAAAAGTCAGAAGAATAACCAGAAAGTCACGAACCGTTTAGAAACGGATCTTAGAAAACTTCGCAAACTTGTTTTCATCTTCTGACTGCGTTATCAGCTTTGTTCTGTTTCGGTTAGATGTGGTATAAGGGATGAAACGATCTCAGTCTAGGATCGGCTCAACACAGTTTCAGAAACTTCCGAAGAACAAGCTCAGTTTCTTGAGACCAGGGAGTCGTATTAAAAAAAACTTAAGTTATTGACTTAAGCAGTGGTTTAAGATCGATTTAAGTCCGGGGACTTAAACCGTATATTACGAAAAGACTTAAGTTGGTGATTGTTTACTTTTTGAAAGTCGCTGGCAACAGTGGCAAACTTGGGACAAAAACCCACAAAATAACGAAATATTCATTCTCTAAACTTAAAAAGCCGTTTTCGTAGAATCGTATTGTTAAATGTCTGAGCTATTCGAAAAAATGTGTCAATGACTTAAGTTCGACCTAAGCTTTCGGTCTTAAGTTTAAGACTACATTTCCCACAACTTAAGTTTTTTCGTAATACGACCTCCAGACAAATAAAAATTTCTAATTACTTTTCATCGGGGATGCGTTTCTAAAAAAACTTAAGTCAAGCAGAGGTCATGCAGTAAAAACCATTCGTATTTTACACAGCTTAGATTGTTTTACAGCAGTTTTCTAAAGAAAATCTCTGAAAAATCATGTTCAGTCTAATTACGATGGGTTGGATAGGTTACGCGCTTCAAATAAAGAAGTTACAAAATTTAAACAATTTTTTACTTAAAAGCTGAAGAGAAAACTTAAGTGAGATCGAGAAGTGACTTAAGTTAAGTAATGTTTGAGAAACACGCTTAGCTAACAAATTGGACTTAAGCGAAATTTTCGCTTAAGTTTTGCGTAAGTTTTTTTAAGAAACTAGCCTCAAGGCCACATTGTTCGGAACAAATGGTGAATTAACATAAAGAGCAGTAGACATAATAAAAAAGCATCAGTAACACCAAATTGCTTATTTCCATGTTTTACCACATAGATGACAGCTGTCTGTCTAACGAGCCAATCTCTTCACGAACAAAAACAGCACAGCGGATTTTCCACCTTATAGTGAAATCTTTATTTGTATTTCTTCTAATAACAGTTCTTCACAGGCGACGTAGTCAGCAGGTTCAGTAGCCTTGAGCCTCTTCTGCCTTTAGCATCAAAACATTTTTTTCAGTAAATTTCCTATAAAGGAAGTAGGATAAGAAGTGTTCCATCCTTGAACAAATCGGATATCTAACTGTACCATCCGATTCAGAATGTGTGAATTGGTAGGAAAATCTGAATTCTCATCTGTGAAGCATTATTTAGATATGAAAATAGGAGTATAACAATCAGAAGGAAATATGCCTATCACATATTAAATTTTGTAAAAGGTGTGTTTTTGCATGTTTTAAACAATGAAAATTCGAGTTTTGTAAAAAGTCAGGAGTTGATCAGAAGACCAACAGGAAAAGTATTAGGCAGTTTTTTTGAACAAGCAAAATTTCATTCCCGCAAACACTTCCCAAGTCCACTTTCTTATCGCATATCGCGCCGCGAATCTCTTTAAAAATTCGTGGCGTGATCGCGTAACGTGTTCGCTGTAACACTCGTGAAATAAGATGCGGTTATTAGCGATCGCGACTTTCTCGCGCTCATATAAAAGTCAATCTTAACTCCCGAATATAATGAAACAGACACACATATTTTTTAAGAAACCGACAAGAACCAAAATAAAGCGAATATGGAGAATAAACCGTCTGCTAAACTGTCATGATATTTTTGCAACATGACTGTATTTTTCTGATCAGCGAATTTATTTTAACAGTTCTTGATTATTTAAGAGATAATTATAAAATTCTGTACAATCGAAGCAAGAAAAGAATTGGAAATCAGTGGAATTTTAATCAAGAGAAAAGTCTAAATATCAGGAGTCTGTTGGCCAAATCAGGAGATTTGCGCACTTGGTTTTGAAGCGAACATTAATGTTTTGGATGCCTGCAGTAATATAAAATATTTTGATCACAGTAGAAGAATTCATACTAGCGAGGACTGAAAATTCTTTTCTAGCGTAATTGAAATAACGAACTTTTAGTAAATTCTTCAGAGCACTAGTTTTTCAAACTTTCGTAAAAACGTTATGAAACAATTGACAGTTAAGCTATATGAGTACAACAAAAATACTGGTGTGTTTTGTTACCATCTGTAATTTAATTGTTGTTCTCATAATTGTTATAAAAGCTCAGCAAGTTTGTTGAGTAAAGAATCTTTCCTAGAGACATCTACAGCACTTATGGTTCGTCGTGCATATTATACCTTGTATATTATGGATATCACATCTGTTCACATTTGCGTGAACAAAAATTCCATTGTGTAGTAATGTAAGGTTTGATCATGGAATAAATAATCAAATAGAAACACAACTGTCTGTTTGTCTGACCGTCAAACAAACGGGTGTGTTTGTGATAGTTTTAAGCAAATGTTATTATTCTTGTTTTTCCGTATTCCTTGAATTCAAAGTATTGGATGATCTAATATTATTTACAAAACAAAACACCCCGGTAACGATAAATATTGATTTCGATATAGTTCGTGATCAATATCCATTTTTGAAAAACAAGTTTTTTAAATGGAACTCATGACAAATATGTGAGAGATCGATGGATGAGAAAGAATAGAATAGTGGTATCTACATTCGTCCTCGCTGTTGCCACAAAACCTTCATTTTAATGGATAACTTTTCTTTAAAGAAATTCTTTTTCTTTCTTCGGAAGTAGTATAAATTGAAAGTTTCAAAAATTTCTCCAAATCTTAGCTTTTTCTTCTGTTTTGTAGATGATTTGATTAGATTACGAAATATACTCATTGATTTGTGATAACTTATCATTAAGTTCTAAGCCATTGTCTTTGTGTTTTGATTTGCCAAAAGTACACGTGAGAAGAATCCTCGAGTCGAGGAGAGGATTCACATACACATTTTGGTATGTGTAAGTGTATACATTTATTAAAGATCAAATGTTTTTCTTCTTGTTTCATCCCGTATAAAGCGTAACAACAAACAAACATATAAGCGCATCTATGGATAATTGGTTGGCATTGTGAATTTATCAAATTTTTCCACTATTATTACTACATAATGATTCGTCGAATTGTTTATGATGTTGAATTTCGTGTATTAGTTAAAGAAAAATTAAAAGCTGCTGATAGTGTACTTTTAACGGGTTCATGTCAGGAATTAGGCGAATGGATACCTCAGAAATGTTTAACGCTTAATCGAGAATCATCATCACCTACAGAAGAAATATGGTCAACAAATGTTAAAATCGTTGGTACTGGTCATACTAAAATATATTATCGCTATTTAATTGCACAAATTGTACGATGTGATGAGGATATGAATTTAATTATTAAAAAATGGGAAACATTCAAAGAGCCAAGAGTAATTGAATGCGATAAAGGGCCAAAAGTAGATGGTGATTATAATACTAGAACAGCAACGACATCAAATGTAACACACAACATTGATAGTACAGATGAATTTCCAGCAATATTTGGAACATATAAAGGAATATGTCGAATCGATATTGGTTGGTTAACAGGTCAAACAGAAGTAAGTGTTACATATTGATTTGAAAAAAATAAGAGAAATGTATAAACAAAATCTCTTGCTGCGTGGTATAATGTATTTTTCTGTCTCTAGATTCAACTGCGTTTTCATAGTAATTATATGCATATTTGGAGTGCAAAACTACGCAATAACAAATTTAGTTTAAAAGTATCTCCCATTGGTAAGATAACTTTAAAGTTTCTCTTTTTTCTCAGCTTGCTGCACTTTTTTCTACAGATTTATCATATCAACAAGACAATGAAGAAGTATCATCCGATTTACCCGTTCAACAGTACTCACCAACGTCAAAAGTATTCACCCAATCGGCTATATTGCGTAAATATTGCTGTGAGACAAGTTTTCAAAGTGATTATGGAGCTGTAGTAGAAAAAGATGATTATTTAATAGTTAAAGTTCAAACATTTGAACCAGAAAATGTTGCTTATCATATTGATTTTTATTTGGTTGATGATAATACGACTATCAGAAAACACGTTGGTTTTGCATATGTTTTACCTATACATTCAAATCAAGAATTAGGTGATAATAAGCATTTGACAAGAATTGTACCGATTATCGGTCTAAAACATAACCCGTAAGAGTTAGTTATGTTTATTTAGTCATCAGGATAATTGCAGTTATTTTCTATTTACTTCAGAATCGGACAAATAAAGATTGATATTCAACTCATTACACCACTGAAAGATATAGTACAAAAATTTTTCGTTTCGTCGTCAAAATATTGGAGACAAGGAAGACGAGTTGTTAATGTTGGCCATCGTGGTTTAGGTGTGTATTTTCAAACTGTGCTAAAGAGTAGAATTTGTTACTGATAAAGCAATGTGTTTTCAGGCAAAACAAATACAGAGCATATTCCATCAAAATCACAACAACAACAAGAAAATAGCAAAGCAAAAAATAATGTGGGAAGTGAAAATGTCACCACCGGCCAAGAACATGAGTCATCTAATAGAATAGTAAACGCTTAACACCACTCTGTACTCTAACTGAATTTAGAAACAACTTCCATTATTATTATTATTATTAATAAATAATTTTCTTAAGAGTTTCACACCACCGATTCTACCAACGAGACCTGTTCAGTCGCATTTTGTCAGTGAAAATACGGTAAGAGATAAAACCTGAATTAATACCGTATCGTTCTGAAATATTTTTTTTTGATTATTATAGTTGGCATCATTCAAAGCTGCTTTCGATGCAGGAGCGGATTTTGTTGAATTCGATGTACAATTATCCAAGGATAAAGTTCCTGTTGTTTATCATGATTTTCAAGTAGCAATAACACTGAAACGGAAAGAGCCACAAGCTGAACTCTTTTTGGTTGGTGTTAAAGATTTGAGTTTACCACAATTACAATCATTAAAAATATATCACGCTTCAAAGCATGATGTACCAAAACCGGAAGATGATTTAGATGAAGATGATCAAAATACGACATTAAACACAAATGTACCAGTAGCAATACAGCTAAACGATAATGTATTAGAGAATGATATTGTTAAAATCAATCATCATCCACCACCACAACAGTCCGAAAAGAAATTTCGTTCTTTGTTTCCAACATTACAAGAATTATTTGAACAACTGGATCCACATCTTGGGTTTAATGTCGAAGTAAAATATGCCATGGAATATAAACAAGGTGGAAGTGAACAAGCACATTATTTTGAAAGAAATGATTATATTGATCGTATTCTATATTGTTTGATGACTTATGCAAAAAAGCGTGTCATTGTTATTAGTACTTTCGATCCTGATTGTGCTTCTATGTTACGGTTGAAACAAAATTTATTTCCCGTACTATTTCTAACGCAAGGTGAAATTCTTACCTATCCACAATTTTTGGATGTGAGGACATGGAACGTAGATATTGGATTATGCTTTGTCATTTCTGAACATTTATCCGGTTTAGCTGCACCTGTAAGTCGAACAATATTTTTATCCAAATATAAAACATTCAATTTGGCCTTTTTTTCAGGTTGTTGATGTTATAGACAATAGTTCTTTTGTTAAACGTGTTAAAGAAAAAGGAAAATTACTCTTTATCTGGGGTGATGAAGCATCGTCAAAAGAAGTGATCAAGACTCTAGTAGAATTACGCGTTGACGGTCTAATTTATGATAGAATATCAGAATTACAAGATGAACCAACAACAATTGAAAATGTCTTTATAGGTTAGTGAAGAGTTTATCGAATCGATATTGTATCATCAAATGACTCACTTTTTAGAGTTATAGTTTAAATCTTTTGTTTTCTATTTAGCTGAAGAACGTGAAGAATTGGAAGTTTTTAATCGTCTGCGAACTCAACAATTAGAACAACAACATTCACAGTTACTCCAAGAATTGGAACGTTTAAAATCTGTTCGTGATAGTAATGGAAAATTGACAACGGATGTTTCAACAATGATAGATTCAACAAAAGATTTTAAAGATTTAATGTGATTCAGAGTTTGTTTCTTATCATTTACCTGATCGCTCTTTTCTTCTTTCATACGATCTCAAAATAATCATCCTTCGCCTTATTTTATTTTTTCTGATATATTTATAAAAGTATCTAGTTATTGTCTTAATGACTTGTCCTTCAGCAATCTGTTCTATATTTTGTTTAAAGAGAAAATGAAAAAGTATGCATTAGTACAAGATAATTTTTACTCTTTATTTTTTAGATAAAAATAAGTTGTAAGCTCAAATATCTAATCGATTAAAATGTTATGGAAATTGATTAATATACTCTTAGCTTATTTGGCGAAACCATGGTTAGATGTACAAAAATATTTTATTGAACATTTCAAAGTTTATAGTTCAAGTTTTGATGAGAAAGCGTGGTATATATTTTATGCAGTAACAACGTTGTTGACATTTGTTGTGGCATTTCTTCTCAGTAGATTTATTACGTTAGAAGATGCTGGTGATGAAGCTAAAGCTCGTTGTTCTAATTTAAGAAACAGACGGCATCGAAAAATTAATTAAAATATTTCTACTTTTTTTCGTGTTTTTGTTTTTGTGTTTTCAAAAAGCTGATTATTATTTTTAGAATAGCTGCTAATAAAAATCATTTTTATTAGTTAAAATTTGATTAATCAGTTTTAATAAATGTATAATTACCTGTATAATATCAATAGAATTAGTCATGTATTTGTTTTTATCTCTATATTTCGTTATTTATTATTTTTACGGTGTAAACTACAAGTAATAAATAAAACCTTGACTCATCCAGTAATGTTCTTCTTGATTTCTTTTAATACCATTACCAGCAAGATAATGTCATTTTTCATTTTGTATTTCGGATAAATTCGATCATCCTTGTTCATCATCGTCATCTCTCCCTTATCAATTGTATCATCGCTTTGTTCATCAATTTTCATAATAAATTTTTTATCAAAAGTCTATGCAAATTTCCTCTCTGTATTTATTATTGATATCAAATACATCCTCAATATTATCATCGTGAATCGGATCTGAAAAGCAATAAAAGAGAAAGAAACGGGTAAACTGTAAGAAGAGGAAGACACAATAAATACTTTGTTCCAATAGACGGATTTGTTCTTACATCAGATTTTGTTATGGAGAAAATAATTGATTATTATCTTTTAAGTGATCATCCGTTATATATATCATATTGGTACAACTTGATGAGATTAGTTTAACAAAAATCCACGTAGTTGAGTAAAAGAAAATCCATCCATTTTTACTAGGATTTCTTAACATAAATGTTTACAACTATCAACAAATACAAGCCACAAAAATTTTGATATGTCCGTTGGATACAGTTCATATCATAGTATATATGGTGGAAAGATGTCGTTGAGAAAATCAAAATTTACTTTCTTATATAATCATTAAAAACGATGCACTGTAACGAGCAACAATGTTTAGTAAAATGCTTACAGCTTTTGAACGACATGATCGTTAGAACTAAAATTTTCAGGTTGTTACTATGTTTAATCTTTATATTCTTTGTCGAAATCTATGAGATTATGAATGTATTGTTCGTTATACTCTGTATCGATTCTTTATGCAATGACTCATAAGAATATGTCAATAATAGAGACCTACACGAGCAACACTTTTTTGAGCGTAGCTCTATCGAGGGTGCTTGTCCACCGCCGTCCGTGGTGTTTTTTTCGCTGCCAGATGCAGAAAAAAACATTTTTCTCTTTGATGTGGTGATAGTATTTTTTTGACGCGTGCCCGTCGAAGAGAGCAATTGTTCGTCGATGTCCGTCCGTGTGTTTTTTGAGCTGCTCGTGCGCATCTGGTACGGAGGAGTCACGGAAATTCCCGTGCCCGTGCAGATCTTTAGTCAATGACCTTTTTTTAACTATGTGAAAATAATGATTCGAAACAAAACAGCATGTAATTGTGTGAAAAATAAAATCAGCTTTATACTTTGAACAATCATTACCCAGCAACTTTCATGAGATGTCATTTTAATACAAAATATAAACTGAAATAACAGAACAATTTGTTGTTCATTTTTTTCTGCTATGTTGTTATTGATTTATATCATACGTATATAATGGACCTACTATTTGATGTTAAACTGAGAGTAAGAAATATGTGCAACAAAAATAATTTTCTTCTTAGAAATGAAAAGTATTATAAGACTTTAAGTTGAACAAAAACGATAGAAATAAAATTTGTAAAAAATAACGTTTTAGAATAGGAAAAAAGCGAATTACTGTTCTTCTTTAGAGAATTATCAAACGTCCAAACAATAGGCGTTCGATGATGATTCGGTATATTTTTTCTCCAATTTGTATTTGTTGTTGGTTTTATTAGTGGTGGTGGATAAGTCGAAAAATTCTCGTCACTATATTCATGATAATCGTGATCATCGTCCTCTTTATCGTGTGAATCATCGTAATCGTAATAGGCATCTGTATTATCATCTTCTGAATCGTGTTCTAGTGGATATATAGATAGGCTAGTTTTTGTTGTAGTAACGAATGATAATATTTGCAGTGTAGTTTTTTTTGTTGTTGTTGATACAATGGTTGTTTTTCTAGATGTTGTTGACTCTTCATCTTCGTAGGCATAATCAGCATAGTCTAATTCATCCTCCTGTTGATCATCGTTTAAACTATCATGCGTATCATTCAATAGTGTAGTTATTGAAAACATGTTCAGTTTTGTGTCATTTTTTAATGTGAAAACGGCAGCTGCATCTGCAATTAAAAATTAACATGATCTCTATATGTGCAAGTTTTAGTACTATACAATTAGACCCACTTTGAGAGTACTCTGTTTGATCAAATATGGCAGATTTTTTTTCAATCTCATTTAAAAGCCATTGTAATCTTAAACTTAATGGCTTGTCAAAATGAGATTTCATCTGAGATCTAAAACAAAATTAAATTGTTTTTATCTGTAGTCAACAAACCATTCATCTTTATTTTACCGTCCATCTATCGATACTGTCGTACCAGTCCAACATGTAGTATTTATTACGGACACTCCCGGTGTGGTACAAATTGAATCTGGCAACGTTGACCAAAATGATTGATGGACCGAAAATGATCGACTAATCATCATCAATTTTTTATGGAATGATGATGTTGTCACATCATTATTTAACGATATCACATTAATTGGTTTGAAAATTGATTTATTGCTCATATTGTTTTCAATGGATGTTGTTCGTTTTAATATTCTATTTGTAGACAAACGTCCACATTGACGTATAATCTTAAAACAGATAATTAAAAATTAAACATTATCTTAAAGTTCAGATATTTACCTCTTTATTTTCCACACCACCAGCATTAAAAAATGTCATTACTGCTTCTGATATTGATATACCAATTGATGAGAGAACATTTTCAAGACCATTAAAATATTGTACATTTTGTATAGAATCTAAAATTTACAACTAAACAGATGATAATAATTATATTTCTCAGAAAACATACATACCAACAAATTTATTCCATGTGTTATCAATACGTGTAATATTACTCAAACAACTTAAAATAACATTTTTACAACTAGAATAACAGGGAAGTTCATTTCGTCCAGCACAAAGATTACAATAGTTTAATTGTGTCATTAAATCAATGCAATGATAATCGGTTGTTATACCCTAATGAGTAATAAAAAACAAAATAATTAAGCATCATTTCATTTTAATCTATTTCAATTAAACAAATATTATTTTTGTCTATTCATAGGACTCTTATAATAAAAACAATTATTTTAAAAAATGTTGAAATGATTAAAAGCTATTTGAGTTGCACACCTAATTTATAATAACAAACAGTTTATATCGAATATTATTGACACATTTATCATAGTGTTTTCGTCACATCAATAATTCATTTGAATTGTTGCTTTATAAATTGTATAAATAAGAAACAAGCTGATGACAGAAATATTTTCATATACATTTATTAACAGATGTTTTGAACATCATAGATGATCATATGCTTCATCGATAGAACGACTTTCTTCTATCTTCTATATGAATGCCATGATAACCTGTATGATACCTACTACTGTATATTGATAAATGACAAAGCATATGGTTCATTTCTCAGTAGAATTGTTACATAATTTGCGTTACAACAAAAAAAAAGAGATAGGTGATAACCTTGAATACAAACGTTTTCTTCTAATTTATAGTATTTCACTATTTAATTTTCATTCCTATAAATGTGTAATGCAATCTACAAAGGTCATATTTATTATTCTTACTGTTCTACTAACATATCTAACATAAAACATTAGGGAACTATCTCAACGATCTCTAGGTTTCAATAATAATAACAAAATAACACAAAGAAACACATCTTTCATCTGTCTATGATAACGAAAAGAAGACACTTCTTACCATTAATGTATATGGACACTTTGAAAATGTCATTTCAATTTCGTCCATTTAACATGCTCTTTCTAAATACTCATGTTAGATATAAGAAATAAATGATAATGTTATAAGTTGAGTATATGAGAAAGTTCCGTACAATGAGATGTTTAGAAACATAAAATGAAAAACGCTAACAGACAGATGATTGATGTTTGACAATCTTGAAACCGATAAGCGGCATATTTCTATACTGTTCAATATCTCATAGCGTGACAACTGTAATTATCATGAACAATTCACGCTAAAGATTTTATTCAAATGCAAGATATGCAGACAAACAAACGGTATTCTTAAGAGGGGAATTGATAATAAATGCAAACTATTTGTTTAGTTCGATGAGCTACTTGTACCTAATAGTAGTCACATAACCGGATGTATATAGAGTGTACATAGACATACGTTAATACCTCTACGTGTCAATTTAACTTACGATAGAAATGAGTTGTACGAGTTCAGATACAGTTTTCAGTAATTCATATAGATCCAAAATGCTGCCAAGATTTTTAGATATTTGACTAGTTAATGTTGTTGATATATCACCAAATGGCCTCGTTTGCCAAACACATGTGAGATACGATGTTTTAATTGACGGTTGAAGATTGACATCATTTATTTTTCCCGTTACTGTAACTGAAAATGATGTTTTTAATACTGAGCGAAATAATTGTTCAACATATAGACTAATGTCATTTTTTGTACGTGCCGTGATTATATTTAAAGAATTATAAAAGTCATCAATTGACTGTCGATACATCTCATACAAATTATTATAGCCACGTTGTAATACTAAATGTGTTTCTTGACGGGATGATTGTAACAATTGTTTTATAGTATCTTAAAACGAAAGAAAGATGATTCAACACAAATTTTGTAGAAAAAATGAAAAAAACTAACCATTTAGTTCAGTAGAATAACGCAACAAGGAATCATAAACAATTATTGAATTTAATTCAAATAGACGATATAATTCGAGTGCCGTTGCATTTTTTATGTTATTTTCTATTGACGATGGACAACATTGATTATCGATAAATCCACGACATAATCTTAAACCTAAAAACATTAAAAGTTGTGTTCATTTCAATTTATTCTTAAATAAGTTCAGTTATCAGTTAAACCAATTGACAAGGTTTCGACGACCTTCAATAAATCTATGCATATGAATCTTTATATATCTCGAATGTATCAATTTTTTTATCAAAGCAAACAAATAAATGAAAAATAATGACAGGGTACGATGTTGACTATTGACCATATTAAAATTAAAACTGATCGGTGGTTGAACATTCAACTTAATATGTTTTTTTCGTGTGATCAATGAATATCAACTAGAAATTAGATTTTACTTGAAAATTGATAACCTATACTTTAAATTTTAATCCACTGATTTTGACAATGACACACTATAGACAAAACGTTAATCGTGAGACACTCAATTACGTTTCGACAATTTTCGTTAGTGTTAATGACTTTTGAATTATAAGTTTTTTTGATGTTAATATAGTTCAAACGTATTATCGAATAAGAAATAAGAATAGATCTAATATTAACAGAAATAACTTTTTTGTTTATAGATCTTTCATTCTATATCGTCTCGTCTCCCTTTTGATTTTAAAACTATTAGTCTAGATACAGTATACGAAACACATCGTTCACTCACCGTAGAAGACTTCTGTCATTCTAAATTTCAAGAATCACGATAGTTTATAACTTGTAGTTTTGAGTAGACATAGTTTACACGATATGTTGACTGACCAAGAAGTTTCAACTCATTTAGCTTGGTGGATTCTAAAATATTTTAACTTACTTTTTTTTTTCACTAAAATGGCAGTCAATTCTATTTCAGGGGGTTAGACATTTTATCGTATTGAAATGTGAAAACGGATGCCTACTATCAACACTATAAAGTTTGATTGCAACCAAGTGTAGGAATACTATCATTTCACGATTGATTCTTCGTGTTGATATTCTAGATCATTTTCAAAAAAAATATATCCATGACGCACTCAGTTCAGAAAAATTCATTGTATTTGAAAATTTATGCAAATATTGTCCTATTTTCCTGTTGAAATCTCTTAATACTGAGATGTTGCTAATAGAATTCGAGCGATTCGATCGTTATGCTTCAGGGTCCTGAAAGAATAGATTTTGTACATTTTCATTTCGTATATCATGGTCATACTCATTAACCATAGTGGGTCTTAGATTCCACTGCGGGAAAGCATATCTAAGGAAGAAAAACTTTCAAAATTAATCTTAGTATGAAAATTTGTGCACTAATATGTAAACAAGAGTGTAAAACAAAACAGTGACTCAAGAATTATCATAGTTTGTCACTAGGAGGAAGGGTTTATATGTGACTCTCGATACAGTAGCGTTTGACTATATATCGAACGTCACGTTTTGCAGTAAACGTGATATTACCCAATTAATATTAACTATTTTTACTTAAAATTTCTAGGATCAATAAAGAATTATTCCTTTTGTAGACAGACTATATACGATAAATTTAAGCTTACAGAAATCGCAAAATTATTTTGATTCAAGATTTTAATCATAATAAAACTCATAATTGTTTCTACACCTTAAAGTAAAGCTCATCATCTACGTCTTGTGTATCTAAAGAGAAGTAAACCTTAATTTTCAATTAAATTTTCTTTCGCTCCACCCATTTTTAATTCAAATTTCTTACTAAACTTAATCTAAACATTTTGTAACAACTATTACCTAATTAGAATCAAATTTATATCATAGGTAGGTCACAATGAACTCAATATTCTCATATTCCGTACTTACCATGAAATTTTTGTTGTACGTCATAATTATTATTGTAAATATTGTATGTTTGTAGTTTAAGATTCAAAAATGAACACCGATCATTTCTAACAAATTCATGGAACTGAACCATTGTAAGCATAAATAATATTTGGAATGGTGTATAAATCATTATATTTTCTATTCATTTAATCAAAATTTGTATGTGGATTTTCCATTATATTGCAATATAAGTAATTATCTTTGTTTTTCTATTCTACAGATTAAATAATATGTCTCTTTGTATATATAAACAACATTCATATAACGAAAAGAATTCATGCTTATTTTTAATAAACTTTCTCGCATCTACCTCCTAACATATTCTGTTATCGTATCATTATGTACGGATTTGGAACGAAAAAAAAAAGAATATCAGAATTGTATTTTTTTTTTGCAGTAACGTGTGTGATGTGCTCATCCATCTATATATCAACCACAAAAATTCTTGAAGAAAAAAGAAAAAAAAGAAAAGAAGCGAAAAAAACAGTTACTTTCGTCTTGTCTCTCTCTTTCTCTTTCTGTCTTTTTATGCGCGATTACTGCCAAAAAATAAAAATGCACCATCTTATTTTGTTATATGAATGATTCATACACATAGATGAACGTTTATGAACCTTGGGTTTATACACACGTAGAGGAAAAAATAACAGTATGCATACATATCAACTAAACATAAGAAAAGAGAACGAACGATAGCTACATTGTTCAAAGTTTATTAAACAATTGTACCTGTTGTAATCAGTGACAGATCTTAGAGTTTACCTCGAAAATGTGAGCAAAAAAACAACATTCGTCAAGTGATTAATTACACTTACTTTTCTCAGAAGAACTTTTCCAGTTTTTGTAGATGTAGGGAAATATTAACATTTTTAGGAAGAAAAATAGTCGTCTCAATCTTGTCTTGTTGAATTGCTGATGATAAACTTTCAGATCTAAATCAACAGTATGCTAAAATTCATAGTATATAAATATTTAATCAACTTACTTATTTATATGCACACACATTTTTGTTTAATTTTTAAATATTGTCTGTCTACTAATTCTTTTCTCCTTTCTATATAGTCTATTATTTATTCATTGACTTTTAATTGTTATTATACATAGACTGTAGAAGAACAATTCTGTTAATTGAAAAAAACGTCAACGAAATATATCTGTCGACAGACAGTTCATTCTGGTTTCGACTATAGTTAGTTCATCATCTCAAACGGCTTGAACAAGTGTTTGTGTAACTGAATGTGTCAAGTGCATTCACTTAGAATATGGTAGCAGCACAATGAAAAAGTAAACATTTTAGTATAAGACAGTAATAAAAAGAATAGTTTATGCTTTAAATACCTACAATTAGAAATAAAGTAAGTGTATGTTACTAAACAATTTTTCTATTTAAATAAGATATTTAGCATTAACAATTTTTATACATAAGCCGTAATCTATTTTCTCATATTTCTTAAAACCAAACACGTATTTACTTCAACGATTAGTAATACTTTTGAAATATTGGATCTTGTATATTAATCTTGTTCGATATTTAAGTTTGATAATGTCTCATTTTTTAGATAATGACATCTCGTCGTGGTTTTAACTGGAATAAACAAGAAACAGAAATTTTACTTGGTATTTGGTGTAAAAATGAAATTCAAGATTCGTTAAAGAAGAGTATTCAAAATAAAAATGTTTTTGAATTAATATCCGAACAAATGTTAAAAATGGGCATTGTACGATCGGCCGATCAATGTCAAACTCGTATTAAAGGTTTAAGACGATTATATCGTCGAGCAATTAAAGTTATCGAAAATGAAATTGATCGTCAACGAATTTGTCCATTTTTTGATCAATTACATTCCGTATTTCGTTTCGAATTACCATCGTCATCAGTCAGTGTTTGTTCTTCGCAAGAAAATGAAGACGACTGGGAAGAAACGAATCAAAATATTGAATGTAATCTGGATGAACTAACTGTTCATAATCAATTTGTGTCAGCGATTAGTACATTTATTGATTATGAAGAGAAGTACGATGAACGATGGTACAATTATTTGAATAAAACAGTTGAACTTGATACGAAACAACAACAAACTGAACATGAATATAATCTATCCATATTAAAATTAATAACGAAATTAATTTTAACAAATAGAAATTGATAAAACTACGATCATAATTGAATCAATACAAACTATAGACATAAATGCATTTATTTATAAAATATTCAAATTTATCAGATATGAATACATTGGGAACAATACATATTAGATTCTTGTTTTCACCTGCATTTACTCTTTCTAATTTACTACTTTATCTGTCATATAAAAATCAAGTTGAATTGTTTGTTTTCCTTCGGACAAACATGTTAAATGTTGAACATGATCTATGAACGGAAATGTTGTTAACGGTATCCCATTTAGTAAAACTTTTTGCACATATATATTTTGATCTGAATTATTATGTGCTATGATAGTTAATGGACATGCACCATTATTTCTATTAATTGTTATTTTGTTGAAATCTGGACTTCCAAGAATGTATGTTGAACTTCCAGAAAGCGGATATATACCCATACTAGCAAAAAGATACCATGCCGACATAGTACCATAATCATCATTACCTGGAATACCATTTGGTTGAGTAGAATATACATGTTTTGTCAACCATCTTGAAAATAGTTGAGTTAAATCACTGCGATTGGCATAACTAAACTGCCACACACTAAATAAATTATGCTCATTTCCTGGCCAATAATACGGATTTGGTAATGTTGTTGTATGCCAAATTTGACTATTTTTAAAAAATATTTCCAACTCTTTTATAAATTCATCCGTACCACCAAATAATTCAATTAATCCATCAGTATCATGTGGAACGAAAAATCTATAATGCCATGCATCACCTTCAACATAACGTTTATCAAATACATCCAATAGACCTACTTCACTAGGACAATCAAATGAATTATTGGTACTTGCTCTAGGACAAAAATATTTTTTTGTTGGTTCCCAAACATTTTTATATCATTTTGAACGAGAATAATATTCGTTTGCTTCATCTTTTAAACCAACTGCTGATAAAATGTTGCCTATTGCATAATCATCATAAGCATAGCTTAGAGTTAAGGGTGCAGAATGTTGATCGTCTTCGTAGGGCACAAAGCCAAGTTTGATATATTGAGGAGGATTCCTGAAATATCAAAATAATTAATTAATAAGAGTGAAACAAAGAACTAAGAATTACTAACCATCGTCCATCATGCTTTTGATTTGTGTTAGCTACTTGACGAACGGCTTGGACAATTTGGATTGAATTCAGATTTAAATTTGGGTTTATTCAGATGCTGTTTTTCCCAGATATACTTTCTGTTATAAATACTGTTAGTTTAAACACACATGTTTAGAATAACATGCAACTGTTAACGTATATTATCGTTATTGAAATATGTTTTTTACTATGTACAGCTTCTGTCCATTTTCCTTCTCTTAATCTAACCATAGGGACAGGTGGCAATGGGTTTGGTGCTGGCTCGATTCCTCTGTGTGCATCCAGTCCATACGGCGCACTACGTTTGACGCCAGATACAGGAAATGAATTAGATATATTCATTGTATTTGATCATCTAGGTATGCACCATACAATCTTTTTGTCTTGTAAATTCATAATTTTCACTGTGCATAAGGCATAATTAGATATTTTATAATTAATTCTATATATTTTAGGTGGATACCATTTTGGTGATAGTCATATTAATACCTTTGCCCATACGCATACGGTTGGTGCAGGTCTTCCAGATTATGGTCAAATAGGTTTAATGCCTGTTCAAGTGAATGATGTTGAAGATTTGCAGCGAATGATATCAAAAACACACGGTTATCGAAGTGCTTTCTCACATAGTACAGAACGGACAGAACCAGGCTACTATGAAGTTTATCTTCAAACACATCGAATTAAAGTTCAACTGACAGCAACAGAGCATGTAGGAAGTCATCAGTATTTATATGACAAAAATGTGAACAAAAAATATGTTATATTAATTGATAGTAGTTATAGTTTAGACTCGAGTGCATGTAACAACACTCAGGTTGAAATTGATCTTAAGATGAATGAAGTTAGAGGATGGATATTGTTTGACGGAGCGCTATCAAAAAGATTTGGGGGGGTTCGAACCTATTTTATTATTTCTTTCCCACAACTTAATATCACTGATTATGGTGTATGGAATGACAATAAACTTTATCCGAAACAATTAAATGCTAGTGCCTGTAATTCTGGAGCTTATCTAATGTTTTCTAGTGAACAAGTCAATATTTTGGTTGGAATTAGTTTTGTTTCGATTGAACAGGCAAGAGTGAATTTACGAATGGAAACAGAATATCAATCATTTGATAAAATATTAGAACTAGTACAAGATAAATGGTTAGCTGAATTTAATCGATTTGAAATTGATGGTTGGGATAATGATGAGATGAGCAAATTCAACACGGCATTGTATCATAGTTTAATGAGTCCCACTATTTGGAATGATGCAAATGGCGTGTATCTAGGATGGGACGGTCAAATAAAAGTTAAACCAGATCATATGGATCATGTCTACACTGATATGAGTATTTGGGATGTATTTCGCACTCAATTTCCATTTATTCTGTTGCATGATAGTAAACGAATGAACGATATTGTCTCGTCGATTATGCTAAATTACGAGCAAGGTGGTGATCTTCCCAAATGGCCACTTGCTAATGGCTATACCGGCTGTATGATGGGTTCTCATTCGGATATAATTTTAAGTGATCTCATCGTAAAGAAGGAAAATTCTGAATTTTTGAATCTAACCCAAATTGTCCAAGCCGTTCGTCAAGTAGCTAACACAAATCAAAAGCATGATGGACGATGGTTAGTAATTCTTAGTTCTTTGTTTCACTCTTATTAATTAATTATTTTGATATTTCAGGAATC